ATTTGGAATATTTATTGGTAACATTTTTATGTATATTGATCACTTTTTAGTTTAATAAAAGATGAGTTAGTGACATTATTGTATTTTTTTTTTTTTTTACCTCATTTTGAAAACGAAGAAGCATTTTTGAACTATTTACTAATTTATTATTTCTTTCTTTCACAGCAACTGACTGAGCCTACTAAACCTAAAACTGTGGTATGTTTATTTTGTTCTGTTTTTGTTTATTACTTTATTTAAAAGATTTTTTTTATTTTTACCATTGTTTTTAATCTGCCTAAAAAATTATCATTTATTTTAATTTATGTTATTATAATTTGTTATTTTTATGTTTGCTTGAACAATGACTAACCGCAACATCTGCAGCAATAATCAAATTTTCATAGTTATACTTACTTTTAAATTGACTATATTAATAAAACTTATTCTTTTACTGAGACAGTGAACTAATGATTCATTCAGTAATTTATTTTTTCTTTTATTGCTTATTCATTTTCGAAAACGTTTATAGCTTGATCTGTTAGTTCAATTTCAAGTTTAATTAAAATACTGATTCATCATTGCTGAATGAAATTGTCTTGTTACATGTTTAGTTGTCTTTGCATTTTATAACTTTTCAGTATCTGACAGTCTTTATAAGACTTATTTATTTTAAAATTTAATGGAAGACAACCGGCTTCTTATTCGAATTAAATGATTTGTTGTAAAATTACTAATTTCATCCTCTATAATTAAAAAAATAGTGTTATATCACCTTTAATATTTAATCAAGTGAAATTTTCTTTTGAAAGAGGAACTCAAGTTGCTGATTGCTACAAATAGGAAAACAATTTCAATAACCCTTGAAGGTTTTTGTTACTCTAGGGGTTAAGATATAGTATGGGATGGTCCACTTATCTTCGTGTGAAGTAACTAAAATAATGAAAAAATATTTTAACAATTTGGCATAATTACATTTGTGAACATTTTTAAAGGAAGTACCTCAGACCTATTGTTAAGAATAATAGTGTGACTTAGTTTCTGATAACAAAATTTAGGTTATGCTTCATAACTTCATAAACACAATTCTTAATAGTGTATTACTATGGCCTTTAGTTTTTCTTAAGCGACAGATCACTGACAGGCCCACCACGCTTACTGAAATAATACTGTGACACTTTTATATTTATTATTCATGCATCAGCTGCCAATCAGACAATATTAATAAGATTAAGTTTAATTCATATTGTGTAGTTAAAGCTGGTTATAGATTCTTCGCATAATTTGGTAATGTTAATTTAAGTAGTATTATTTTATTTAATATTAAGCTTTTTATGCTTTATCTTTTTTAAATTAGCGATTAATTTGAACATTAGTTTAGTGTAGTAAGTAAAGTATTAACTAAAATTTCAACCAGTCTCTCTAAATCAAATAATTAATTTTGATCTCTTCAAATGATTTCAGAAAAGTGGAAAGTGGAATGCAATGCACGTCCGTGTTGCTTGGGAAATTTACCATCACCAGCAGAAAGGTGGCTTACCTGCAGAGTCAAAAGTTGGGTCTCTTTTAAAAGATCCATTGAGACCTCCCACTCACATGTTTGGGCCACCATTTCCATCTGCCCATCGACCACCACCTACGTTTGAACCACCCCCTCCTCCCACTGCTTTTCCGCCAATAGGACAGTCAGGATCTCTTGGTTTTCAAGGTAAAGTAACTTTTTTTCTGAATCGGGTTATATAAATCTCATATATTTTATTTAATTTTATTTGATACAATTGTTTAGGCATTAGTTCAGTGCTGTATTTTTCAATTGAGTTGGAAACTTTATTTTTACTGAAGATCTAAGGCTATTAAATTATTTCTAGAATTAATTGAACTAAAATAACTCATTTTTAAAATGCAATGTGAAGATCATGTTATAGGTCCCATAACATTTGAAGTTCTTATGGTTTTTCTCTCACCAGAATCAATTTTCTTTTCTTACATTTTATATTCAAACCCATTCTGAGATAATAATGAGTTGACATTAAAATTAATAAAATAAAAAGAAAATTGATATCTTTAAAGAGGAAACATTAAAAATACCATGCTATTTTATTAATGCTGAAAATTATTATTTTGACTTCAATTTACTGTTCCCTAATTTTGTTAACAATGTGTATTGATTGTAAATAGTTGTTAATGTGCCCCTAGGTGGAAGTATGTTTGGAAGGTATGCCACAGCTGCAGCGCCACCTTCTGCATATCCTTCTTTGCCAACGTTTCCTCATACTGCTCCGCCTTTACATGATCCATGGACAAGGTAATATATCTATATTCTGTATAAGTATATGAAAATTTGTTTTAAAGAAATCAAGATTTTTTCCAAAATATATATCTATATTGTAGAATTTCAGTAATAAATAGTGTATTTTAGTCCAGTTCTAGTTTATATTGTAAGGAATATGTAAAATTATTTGGAATAATTTTTATTTATAATTGGGTATGATTGTTAATAATAACCGATTGGTCTGCTACTTTCTTCAAAGACACATCCTCAATCATCAATAATAGCCAATATATTTTCAGTGCCACCTGAATTTAAGTAATTGTTACTGATGAGGAGAATTCAAATAATTAAAGAGGATTGATAGAAATTTTGAATTACAGTACTAATTAATTGAAGAGCATTCTATCAAAGTCGCTACATTCACTGTTGATAAATTATTTTAACAAAATTTTAATTAATCAAGGAGTATTAAAATAATTTTGTCTTTTACAGATTAAGCTCTAGTCGATTAGCTCCCCCAGGATTCCCAACAGGTTGGGGCATGAAGCCGGAGCCTTCGGCTGAAGAGAAGAGTAGAGAAAGGGCGAGGCGAGAAGAAAAGGCTCGTCGACTCGCTCAGCTCGGAAGTAAAGTTCGTGATCGTTCACCGCTAAGGGGTGAAGGTAGCAGTAAAGACGAACCTGCTTATCTTCGTCAGTCGTTAAGGGGTCCACCTCATTTTCCAGCACCTGCGTGGGAACATCATTACAGGTATTTAAAGTAACTTTTAATTCCTTCATGTCATCTTTATAATCAATTGTTTTGATTTACTTATTGAATACTCTTGTGCAGGTATGATCCATTGAGGTTCAACCCTCTGGTAGCTGCAGCTCTCCGAGAAGAAGAAGCAAAACTTTTTTACCCAGGACTTCGAGGCAAAGCACCTAGTCCACATCAGCCAAAGGAAGAATCTTCTCAGTCTCGATAGCGATAAGGTATATATCAATTACTCAATAAGATATGCTACAATTATCTGATACGTTATACATCAGTTATTTAAATCAACAGTTCTTCTGTCATAACCATGTATATTTAATATACATGAATCTGAGCTTTTTATTAATGGACATAAATAAAAATATGTACTGCTTTACCCCCAGTAATGGCTTTGGGAACATATCATAGAGGCAGAGAGGAAAGCTAATTGATGGAGGCGTTGTGGTCAGCTCTGCAATCTGACTACATCATTTTGCCTTCGCTGGTTTGAACTCAAAAAATGGTTAGCCAGTAAAACATTTAACATGGAGGCTTTAACAAAATCATTTTTATTTTTCTAACCTATTTTTTTTTAATCTTTTGTATTTTCCCTGAAATTGATTTTTCTACATATCATATTTATTGTTTAATAGAATTATGAATTTAAATTTTTTTAATAGTTATTTTTAAAATTAATATCGATATAACATTGATATAATAACAAAAGCCATATTCATGTAACATTTAAATGTTACAATATAATAAAGATATTAAGTGGGGTCCCGATTATCATCGGTTAATCCACAGTGACGTTAGACAAATATGAACTACACATTATTTTTTATCGAACCTAGAATATAAGGCCTTAAATTGTGATAAGGCTAGACTCTTCATAGTGTGATCAATTCTTTAAAAATTGTTACAATAAGCTAAAAAAATTGTTTCCATTTGAATTATTTATGTGACTAATAAATTCTCTCCATTTTTCTTCATCCAATTAAACAATGTTAGAAGATATGTATGAATAAATAAATAAAGTACAACAAATAATTTGTCATTTTAAAAAAATGTAAATATTAAATTAGTAATAGTAATTAATAATTAAAGTTTGAAATGCACAATTCTTGTATAATTTATTTAATTTTTTAAAGAAAAAGACAAACAAATATAATTATCCTTTTTTATATAATAATAAGTGGACTTATTCATGTTATAGTTGTTTTTTGTATTATGACTTGTAGGTTGTATTCCCTATTGTCTTTTGTGAACAATGTTTATATTTCCATTTATTTAAATTATCTATTTTAATGAATGGAGTGAACTACATTATATTTATGATATTAAAATAATATCATAATATCATAGTAAATTTATTATAAAACGACAATGGTCAACAAATTAGAGATTTTATTAAATTAAAAAAAAAATTAAAAGATCAACATAACATAATAATAATAATAAAGAAAAATTAAAAATAATTTTCATTATACGTTAACGATTAATTGTTAAAGTTAATAAAATGAGTAATTTAGAAATATTAAATTTACTTTTGTTAAAATCAATAAAGACTGGAAATGTATTTAAACTCATAAAAATAAGCTTTAAAAAAAAAATTCAATCTATTATTGTAAATGACAGCTGTCAATCTCTTTAATATACTTATATATTATTTTACAATAAATAAAGGATAGTTTTTAAACTTCTAAAATAAATAATTAACATGCTGATTAATCGAGGCCAGAATACCACTTTTGTTCCATCCTCAATGGTTTTATTTTCTGAAATAGATAGAACATTAGAATGTAAAATGTTGGAAGAGTGGTTGCTAATTGAGTTTTTCATTTTCAGTTATCGTATGATTCCAAAGGAAAGAAATGCTTTTGGGAAGAATACGTGAAACAAGTTCAGCATCAATGAAGAAAATAACTTTCTCAACTAAGTCAATATTAGACTGACTTTGAAAGGATCCTGATTAGTCAAATGTACTCAGACTGGATAATGCGCTCAGCATTGTGATATTGCTGAATGTGTTTTAGCATTCATGTAACTTATTGAATTATACTAAATGGTGTAACTTACAACACCTCTTTTGCATATTAGGTTCAAAAAACTTCATCGTAATGTGTTATAGCTTTACAAACATTGAATGTTAATTTTCATTGATTAACGATGACTGATTTTTAAGCTAATTAATTTTTCAATGACTGTGAAAAAAAAAATGACTTTTAATGTTTTCGTAATATAGTTTGTTCTGGTTTGTGTCAATATTTCTCAACATCTATTATGTCTTGTTAAAAATCATGATCTCTCATCTTCCTTTTTATTATAATTTATCCTGTTTAATGTTTACAAAATTAAGTTTTTAGAAAATATTTTTTAAATTTTTTCTATATTTAATTAACTGGTAAAGCAATTTTACTATTCTTAAATCATTATGTAACTTCATGAGTTGAATTTCATATTATTTTAAAATAGTATTGTTTTATATTAATAAGGTTTTGTGCCAAATATTTAATTCAGTATTTTCATTAAATTGTTCAAAAATATATATATATAGAAGTGGTATTAGGGACCCATCTGGTAGATCTGAGATTTGTAAATCGTGTTTGGGGACCAGAATTAAAAGATTATTTTGGATTTAAAGGCTGCAATATATAATTAATTTTTAAGGTTATACTTGTACAATAACATAATTAAATGATAGTTTTAACATTATTTTATTTTATTAATTTTATTTATGATGTAATTATAGTGAATATCGAACGGCTCTTGATGAATTTTTTTATTATCAGGATGATTTTTAAAATGTGTTATATAAGTGTTACTTTAATCATCCATATATATTTATATGTTTATTATAATTTATTTTAGTATTTAAATGATGAAATTAGTTTTAAATATTGTTTTTCTATTAGTTGTATGTATGTGTGTATTTGTATTGTCTGTGTCCCTATGTGCATATATATATACTAATTGTTTTGTTTTTTTATAATTTACCCAAAATAGTGTTTATTTGTTATTAAATTTGATGAATTTGATGAGTAAAAAATGTATATCCTATTCTTTATTTAAAAAAAAACAAAACTAAATACATATGTACATACAATATGTCTGTGATTATCCCAGTTGTATGGGATCAAAAGATTGATCACAAAATTAATTTTTATAAATTTCATAAGAATATTGCAGCCTGGTAAATGTGAGATATGTAAATTATAAATAGAGTGAATTTTATGATATGCCTAGTGTCTTTTTTTATGTGTTACATGTTTTCATTATCCATAATTATTCAAATTCATTATGTTACCATTTCCTGTACCAATAACCAAATTGTTTTATAAGCAATATCTTTGTTTTATTTTAACTTTTGCGTTGTAATTTCATAAAATAAGCAATAATTAGAACCCAGGTTTTGTTTAGTATGTATAATAAATTTATTTATTGTTGTTATGTTTATATTATTGATCAAATTCTTTGTTTTTTTTTTCTCTTTTTACTGTGGTGCTCTTTGTTGATTAGGTTTTTAAATGAAAATATTTATACGTGTGCATAAAACATTGAAATATTTCAATCAATACCTGCACCACAGAGGTTCTCCTAATGAAAATTATTTAAGATATAAATATGTAAATAAATACATGTATATGTTATGTGTGACAATGTCTAAATTTATAAATTTCGGTATAAATATAGACATTCATACATATATTCTTTAAAATAAAATCTTTTTAAGATGGTATGCATTTAGATTGTGCTATATAAGCAATGTGCCTAGCCTTTAAATTGTAAATATATACATCACAAGTTGTAAATAAATGTCAATTTTGTATATAGAGTGACGTGTGGTTTAGATATATGTACATATACTTCTTTCTAATTTAAGTATATGTGTATATAAAAATGCTTTTACGAAGGCTGTATTGTATTTTAAAAAAATGTAAGTTTGTATTAAATACGGAACGAACATTTGTACAGTGGCTGTCAAACATAAATTTGACAAACTATTTTTAATCTAGAATTTTAGTAATATAGCTTTGTGGATGTAAATTTTTTTTTGTTTAAGAAATATACTAATATCCATGAAAAATTTTGATTACTTTTTGTTTAGTTATTACTTATTTTACTTCAATACAATTTACTACATGAGTTTGAATACTGTCAGGTAAGTGCTAAAAGACAATTTGCAAATGATAACTCTCTTTGTAGTACAGTCAACTCTCGATAATTCGAACTTTTCGACAATTCAAAATCTGCAGCTGTTAATTTGGTAAATCGAAAAAATGCTGTATTTTGATAGCTCGATAATTTTAAGTCTTTTTCGTAACAAGAGGGGGAGAGAACGTTCCATAATTTGAACTAGACCTTAGAATTAATTCATTAACTAATCAACATACAAACACTCCTGGGAGGCAATTTTAAAATACCTTAACGAAGAATCTTTTACAATATAATACAAGTTTTGAAATAAGTGATCAATTCAGGTAGGTATATTAGATACAATTCTATTTTAGTTACTATGAAGGCTAGGCTTGTCAATTGTGCAGCTAGTCCTTATTTACTCAGTTCAACAGTTCCCTGATATTTTTTATTTAATGTATTTCTGAACTCTAATAATGCTTTAACTTCAGAGATGGATTCTTAATACCCGAATGGAAATTGAAAGCTAAAAAAATATTAGGAATTTAGTAGTGAAAAAGTGCTCAGTAATTCTTACTCCTATAATCCAAAATATTTTTACAACATACATATTATATTTTCCAATTGTCCTTTGCAAATTATAAAAACATTAGTACATCTTGTATTAGATATCTACCTTCTTCTCCCTGATATTTTGAAACATAAACAATATTAGGAAAACATTTTTTGTGTAAAGAACATATTATTACTTAGAAATTAACTCACAAAATTGGTGAAGCTCCATACTTTATTATGAATATGTAAATGTGACAGTTTACTTAAGAAATAATAAACTCTATAGGAAAATACAGTTACAACTAACCTACAGTTTAGCGATAAACCAATGTTAATCTATTATTATTGAAGGAAGCTAGTCGATTGTTCTACATATCGGTGATAAATATTCAGGACACAGCCGCTGGCACAAATAAATTTTTTTTTATAAGACTGCGTCCTGAATATTTATCACCCATGTTAATCTAGTGTTTTATACCTCTTGATACATACCTATACACATCGGTGCAAATCACTTATTAAGTGAGTGGAGTCATCATC